TCTCTACTGAAAATACAAAAAATTAGCTGGGCATGGTGGCGGGCGCCTGTAGTCCCAGCTACTCGGGAGGCTGAGGCTTAAGAGTGGCATGAACCCGGGAGGCGGAGCTTGCAGTGAGCCGAGATCATGCCACTGCACTCCAGCCTGGGTGACAGAGCAAGACTCCGTCTCGAAAAGAAATAAATAAAAATAAAAAAGCTTATAAAGTAAGAATAGAAATAAAATATTTTTATACAACTGTATAACATGTTTGTGTCTTACACTATTATTACCAAGGTAAAAACATTTAAAATTAAGTTTCTAAAGTAAAGTGGCAGCAAACTAGGGTTGATTTCTTAAAATAAACGTAGTATGGACTAAATGTACAATATTTAAAACATCTACAGTAGTGTACACTAATGTACACATTCACCCACCACTCATTCACTGACTTCCAGTCCCACAAGCTCCATTCACGGTCAGTGCCCTGTACAGGTGTACCATTTTAAAAATCTTTGTATCACATTTTTACTGTACCTTTTCTATGTTTAGATATGGTTAGATACACAAATATTTACCACTGTGTTACAGTTGCCTACAGTATTCAGTAGAGTAACATGCTGCACAAGTTTGTAGCCCAGGAGCAACAGGACATACCACATAGCCTGAGTGTGTACTAGGCTAGTCCATGTAAGTTTGTGTAACTGTACTCTATGACGTTCGCACAGCGACGGATATGATGGTGCTATGCAAAGTAAGTCTAGAAGAGAGGCAGGTTGGCTGCTAATTCAACCAATATTTACTGGCATCCTAGCAGTATAAACCATGGAAGTATAAGCCAGGTTAAATTAGTCTTGAAGGGGCCTCTGATGACAGTGCCAAGTGGTCATTGCTATAATGACGTTCTGAACAAGGACCACATTTAAGGGTGCCCAGGACAACTGAAGACTGTTGGCTTTAGATAGACTTGAGCCAAAGTATTCAAAAAGAGTGGGGAGGAGAAAACCTTTAACACTCCAGGGACTCTGATATAATCCACTTTTATGTGGATAATTCCAAGGCTAGCTTTGGTGAGAAGATTACCATCGTAAGGCTGTTGTTTGAATATGATAATTCAAGTAAAGCACTTTGGTATGCTGCAGGACACATAGTAAATGATTAATTGGTAGCAATGATTAATAAATTACTGTCTGTTCTCCCCAAGCTGCTAGGCTTCCCTAATTAAAATTCTGACAGCTTTAAAGCTTTTCAAGTTCCAGTGCTTGCTTACTATTACATAAAGCAGTAACTTGTCTGAATCACCAGCAGCCTGTAGTACAATATTAGAAGCTTCCAGTTATTTAGTTAAGACTCCAGCAAGTAGAGGCATTTCTAGAATACTCTATCTGGACTCTGCCACTTGACCAAACTTCATTAAATTCCAGTCCAAATACCCATCCCCTCAGAGGAGAAGGAAAGGACAGTTACGCCTTCAGTTATAAACTGAGAAGTGTTGTGTTCCAGGCTTTTCATGGAATTGGGTAAATTAGCTACAAACCTGAAATAAGGAAGTATGCATCTGCATTTTTTTCTTTCCAGCACAGACGATAAGAAAACAGTTTCAGGGCAAGGACAAATACCTTCTTATGACCCAGTATCTAGCACATAGGCACTCAGTTATTTTTGGAGAAGAAAATCTACCATAACACCACTCTCTCAACTAATACATTTTTCGCCTAACATGCTTTTTCTGAATATTAAAAAACTACGATAAGATACTTGGAGCATATACTTCTGGCCTTTATTTTCCTGTGTGCCCAAGGCTATTTTTCCAAAAATGGGACCATGATGGCATGTTTTTGTAGAAACTTTTCCTGTATTACTGAATAATCTAATGATTTTTAAAATGAAGTTTTAAATATTTTAAAAATAAATCATCCATGTGGCAAATTTTAAAAACTCAACAGAAAGATAAACGAGGTGTATTCTTCCATGATGATAACACCATTAAATTACGTGGGAATCCTTCTAGAGAATGGCAGAAGTATATATACTTGAGAGTGGAATTGCTCAGTCAAATGGATAACTCTATCTTTAACTCTTTGCGGAAATGCCACATTTGTGCAGAGTATCTGTGCTATTTTACATTCCCATCAGCAATGTTTGAGGGTTCCAGTTTTTTCCACTTCCTTGCAACATTTGCTATTTGCCATTTTCTTCATCTTCGCCATCCTAGTGGGTATAAAGTGGTATCTCACTGTGATTTTGATTTGCATGTTCCTAATGACTAATGATATCAAGCATCTTTTCATGTACTTATTGGCCATTTGAGAATCTTCTTTGGAGAAATGTTTATTCAAATCCTTTGCCTGTTTTGTTTTGTTTTGTTTTGTTTTTTAAAGAGCCAGGGTCTTGCTTTGTTGCCCAGGCTGGAATGCAGTGGTACAATCATAGCTCACTGCAGCCTTAAAGTCCTGAGTCCAAGTGATCCTCCTGCCTCAGCCTCCCAAGTAGCTAAGACTAAAGCTGCAACACCCTGCCTGGCTCAGTTTTAAATTTTTTTGTGTGTGTAGAGTTGGGATATCACTATGTTGCCCAGGCTGGCCTCAAGCAATCCTCTCACTTCAGCCTCCTAAAGTGCTGGGATTACAGGTGTGAGCCACCACACTGGCCTCATTGCCCATATTTTAATTGGGTTAGTCTTTTTATTGTAGAGTTTAAGAATGTTTTCTATATCCTGGATACTGTGCTCTTCCATATGACTTTAAAAAAAAAATAGAGAGGTGGTCTTGCCATGTTGACCAGGCTGGTCTCAAACTTCCGGCCTCAAACAATTATCCCGTCTCGGCCTCCCAAAGTGTTGGGATTACAGGTGTGAGCCTCCGCGCCTAGTGTTTTCCATGTGATTTGCAAACATTTTCTCCCTTTCTGTGAGTTATCTTTTTTTTGATAATGCCTTTTGAAGCACAGAAGTTTTAAATTTTGATGGAGTCCATCCAATTTACCTATTTTTCTGCCCACACCCCACCTTTTTTTTTTTTTTTTTTTGAGATGGAGTCTCGCTCTGTCGCCCAGGCTGGAGTGCAGTGGCCGGATCTTGGCTCACTACAAGCTCTGCCTCCCGGGTTTACGCCCTTCTCCTGCCTCAGCCTCCCTTTTTTTTTAAATCAAGCTCCTTCCATGTTAGCACTCATAGGCCCATGTCATTTCTTATCTACGTGGACTTGCATTGTAAGAAATTCTATTGTAATTTCTTTAAACACTTTTTAAAAATTAATGGACTGGGTTGTTTTCAGGCTTTTTTCTATACAGATACTGTCCAGTGCTACAGTGGCCATTCTTGAGCATATATCTTAACCTCTTTTATACATAGCTTTGGCTGGGCATGGTGGCTTACCCCTATAATCCTGTCACTTTGGGAGACTGAAGCAGGAGGATCACTTGAACCCAGGAGTTCAAGACCAGATGACTGGGCAAGAAAGTGAGACCTTATCTCCAAAAAATAAAAATAAAAATAAAAAAAGAAAAGGAAAAGGAAAAAAACCCCAAGTAACTTCATAGTGTAAACTCTGAAAGTGGAATTGCTGGATCAAAGGGGACATGTGTTTAAAATCTTGGCAGATATTACCAAATTTCCCTCTTAACAGTATAAATGCCTGTTCCTCTCCCATCCCACACCCACAACTATACTGGCTATGATGAGACCTTGGTTTTCTGGAAAAGCTCTATTTAGAGGTGTATCATTATTTACTTAATTGTTCTCCTTTATAACCCACCTGGGATGAGCATCTTGTCTAGATGTCTCTACTTGCACAGGATACATATGAAATACAATTGAGGGTTCAAAGGCAGATACAGAACTCTTCCCACTTACTTTCTTACCCTTGTGTGTGTGTCTCCCCACAGGGTTACAAGTATATAACCAGTGTTGGAAGTTTGCGAATTGCAATTTCAATGACGTTTCAACCCTCTTGAAGGAAAACGAGCTACAGTACTTCTGCTGCAAGAAGGACCTGTGTAACTTTAACGAACAGCTTGAAAATGGTGGGACATCCTTATCAGAGAAAACAGTTGTTTTGCTGGTGACCCCACTTCTGGCAGCAGCCTGGTGCCTTCATCCCTAAGTCAACACCAGGAGAGCTTCTCCCATACTCCCCGTTCCTGCGTAGTCCCCTTTCCCTTGCTGCCGCATTCTAAAGGCTTGATATTTTCCAACCGGATCCTGTTGGGAAAGAATAAAATTGACTTGAGCAACCTGGCTAAGATAGAGGGGCTCTGGGAGACTTCGAAGGCCAGTCCTGTTTGCAGGGAAGCCCCACTTGAAGGAAGAAGTTTAAGAGTGAAGTAGGTGTGACTTGAGCTAGATTGCATGCTTCTTCCTTTGCTCTTGGGAGGACCAGCTTTGCAGTGACAGCTTGAGTGGGTTCTCCGCAACCCTCAGATTATTTTTCCTCTGGCTCCTTGGATGTAGTCAGTTAGCATCATTAGTACATCTTTGGAGGATTGGGCAGGAGTGTGTGAGCATCCTCTCTCACATGAACGCTTTCGTAAACTTCAGGGCTCCCGTGTTGCCATGGAGGCATGCCAAATGTTCCATATGTGGATGTCAGTCAGGGGCAACAAGATCCCTAATGCAGAGCTAGAGGACTTCTGGAAGGGAAGTGGGTAAGTGTTCCAGATGGCAGGGCATGAAAGCTTAAGGGAGATACAAGTGGCTGAAAGTCGAGTTTTTCCTCTATCTTTAAATTTTATATGGGCTTTGTTATCTTTCACTGGAAAAGTGTAATAGCATACATTAATGGTGTGTTAAAGCTATTTCCTCTCCTTTATTTTTTTAATTGGAATGGTGGGAGATCTTGGATTTGCCACACACAGTTACAGAATGAACACTCCGTACATGTGACTAGCAGTATTAAGTGTGCTTATTTTAAATGTTACTGGTAGGAAGGCTGTTCAGGTATGTGTGTATACAGTATGAATGCAATGGGAACAACCTTTGTGGTTACAGTTTGAGACTTCCAGAGGTCATCCTTAATAACAACAGATGTGCAGGGTTGTTTTACCGTCTGCATCCAGCCTTCTGTTAACTCCTAGCTGACTCAGCATAGATTGTATAAAATACCTTTGTAAGGGCTATTAGCACAGTCACACATGTTTGAGGCTTTCAGAAGCTCTTTCTAAAAACTTTTTCCTTTTCCCTGTGTATTCTAGTGAATAAAGCTCAAGATTCAGTAGACCTTAATAACATTTGTATGTTATGATCTTGGCTGTATTTAATGGCATCGCCTGACTTTTGCAGATGGAGGAATTTCTTGATTAATGTTGAAAAAAAAAAAAAACCCTTGATTATACTCTGTTAGACAAATTGAGTGCAGTGAATGATGCCTTTCTGAAAATGAAATATAACAAGTGGATGAATGTGGTTATGGCCCAAAAGGATAAAAGCATATGCAGTATGCTTAATGGCAGTAACTGAAAGAAGACATCCTGAGCAGTGCCAGTTTTCTTCCTTTGATGCCATTCCCTGAACATAGAAAAATAGAGACTTGCTTATCAAAACTTAGCATTACCTTGGTGTTCTGTGTTCTCTGTTAGCTCAGTGTCTTTCCTTACATCATCTTTAATCCTCAGGTTCAAGACAAAATACTAGGTGTGACTCTTTCCTCAATAGGAATTTTTTTTTTTTTTTTTTGGCTGAAGGAAGTACTGACCATGCCCACAGCCACTGGCTGAGCAAAGAAGCACATTTCATGTGAGTTCTAAGGAATGAGAACGAATTTTGATGAATTTGAGCAGAAAATGAATTTCTGGGAACTTTTTTGGGGGCGAAGGGGTGGGGAATTCAGCCACACTCCAGAAAGCCAGGAGTCGACAGTTTCGGAAGCCTCTCTCAGGATTCAAGATTCGAGGATGAAATTGGCTTACTGCTATCTTGTGTCATGTACCCACTTTTTGGCCAGACTACATTGGGAAGAAGGCAGTCCTCTAAAGCAGAATCTGGGTGCTGCTAAATGGGGAGATGGGAAGAGGGTTGTTAAGCTGTCCAAATCAACAACGGTCATATAAATGGCCTTAAACCTTGGGGTTGCTTTCTGCATAAAGTTGCTGTGACTCATGCTATAGACAAGGTTGAGTACCTGGACATGAAGGCAATCCTGTAATGTAAAGATATTTACAGTATTGCCTTTGGGTCCAGTCTTGCCTACTGGCTCTTTGCTCGAGAGCCACTACCCCATGCCCTCCACTCATCTGGATTTACAGGAACTGTCATAGTGTTCAGTATTGGGTGGTAACCCCATTGGATTGTCCCCTTGAGGGGATGAGCTAGGGGTGCAAGGTACACCTGATGAGTAGGTCAATTGAGCTCATGGTATTTCCTGAAGATGCTAATCCATTTGCCGAACTGAGTCTTGAATGTACTGGGGGCTTCAAGGTATGGGTATGTTTTTCTTGTGTCCTTGCAGTCAGCCCCCATGACTTCTCATGTCACGTATGTCCTGAAAAAATAAGAGCCTGCCCAAGACTTTGGGCCTCTTGACAGAATAAACCAGCTTTATACATCTGAGTCCTCTTGGTAAGTCCTTTAGCAGTGTTCAAAGTCTACTAGCTCACATTAGTTTCGGTTGCTGCCAACAGATCTGAACGAATGCTGACAGATCCCCCTGGGGGCTTCTTGATGGGCTGGCTGGAGCTAGTACTGACATTCATTGTGATGAGGGCAACTTTCTGGTACAGGGTTCTAAGCACTATGTTTTATATACATTTTCATCTGTACTTGCACCTCACTTTACTCAAGGGGAAACTGTGCAAAGTTAGCTGGATTGCTCAAGGTCACTTAGGTAAGTTGGCAAGTCCATGCTTCCCACTCAGCTCCTCAGGTCAGCAGATCTACTTCTCTGCCTGTTTTGCATACTCTTTTTAATATGTGCCTAACTTTGGAAAGCCTAGAATGGGTTCCTGGTGCTTTTTTACTTTGAAGAAATCAGTTTCTGCCTCTTTTTGGAAAAGAAAACATAAAGTGCAATTTTTTTTATTTTTTTTTTTTTTACTGGAAAGTTACCCAATAGCATGAGTTGAAGAGGACCTAGTTAGTCCTTCCTGGAAACAGAAGATCATTTCAAAACACTATCTGCCAGTCTGTTTCTCAGTGTCTGCTACTTGTAGGTATTTCATTTCAGGATAGCAGCAGTTAAATCCGTGGATTTTGTAGTTAGGAACCTGAGTTCAAACTCTCTTCCACTAATTGGCTGTGTCTCTGGACAAGTTTTCTTTTTTTTTTTCCCCCCCAACCTTTTTGAACTTTCACTTTCTACACCTACCTCAAAGAATTGTTGTGAGGCTTGAGGTAAAGGGTCTGCCAGATAGGAAGATGCTAGTTACGGATTTACAGGGTTGTTAAGGCTGTAAGAGTCTAAAACCTACAGTGAATCAGAATGCATTTACCCCCACTGACTTTGAAATAAGTGAAAACTAGCCAGAAGTCTCTTTTTCAAATTGCTTATAGGTTGTTCAATATAAAATTTTTATAATGGATATCTTATTTATCTAAACTAAAGCTTCCTGTTTATACACACTCCTATTATTCTGGGGTAAGGTAAATGACCACAGTACCTTAATTTCTAGGAGGGTGCCTGTGATGGTTCATTGTAGGTAAGGACGTTTTCTCTTTTTCAGCAGCTGTGTAGGTCCAGAGCCTCTGGGAGAGGGGAGGGGCAGCATGCGCCCAGCAAGGGACTGAACTGGGAAACTCAAGGTTCTTTTTACTGTGGGGTAGGGAGCTGCCGTTCTGTGATCAGTTTCCCTTGGGATGTTGCTGTTCCCCTCCTTGCTATTCATGGCTATATACAACGTGGCCAACCCCAGTAGGTTGATCCTATATATGATCAATGCTGGCGCTGACTCTCACTAGCCCCACCCAACCTGCCTATAGGTTTACAGATACATTAATTAGGCAACCTAAAACATTGATGCTGATGTTGGTGTGACATAATGCTATGGCCAGAACTGAAACTTAGAGTTATAATTCCGGTATTAGGGTTCTCCAGAGGGACAGAACTAGTAGGATATATGTATATATGAAAGGGAGGTTATTAGGGAGAATTGGATCCCACAATTATAAGGTGAAGTCGCACAATAGGCCATCTGCAAGCTGGGATAGGGAGAAGCCAGTAGTGGCTCAACCCGAGTTCAAAAACCTCAAAACTGGGGAAGCTGACAGTGCAGCCTTCAGTCTGTGGCCAAAGGCCTGAGAGCCCCTGGTAAGCTACTGGTGCACGTCCCAGAGTCCAAAGACTGAAGAACCTGGAGTCTGATGTCCAAGAGCAGGAAGAGTGGAAGAAAGCCAGAAGACTCAGCAAACAAGGTAGACAGTGTCTACCACCACAGTGGCCATACCAAAGAGGCCACCGATTCCTTCCTGCTACCTGGATCCCTGAAGTTGCCCTGGTCTCTGCACCTTCTGAGTCTAGTTCTTAAGAGCTTTCAATTCCATGAGCTGTCTCATAGCCCTCCAATAAATTCTCCGTGTCAGCTTCTGTTGCTTGTGGACAGAAAATTCTGACAGACCTACCCTATAAGTGTTACTGTCGGGATAATATGAGAACACACAATCACTAAGTGTTAGCTACGGTTATTTTGCCCAAGGTAGCATGGCTAGTTGATGCTGGTTGATGGGGCTTAAACCCAGCTCCCTCATCTTCCAGGCCTCTGTACTCACTATTCCACTAAACTACCTCTCAGGTTTCAGTTTATTTTTAATTCTTACTCTGCAAGTACGTAGGACCACATTTACCTGGGAAAACAAGAATAAAGGCTGGTCTGCATTTTTTAGAAACTTTCTTGAAAGGGAGATGGGAATGCCTGCACCCCCAAGTCCAGACCAACACAATGGTTAATTGAGATGAATAATAAAGGAAAGACTGTTCTGGGCTTCCCAGAATAGCTTGGTCCTTAAATTGTGGCACAAACAACTTCCAGTCAGAGTCAGCCTCCTGCCAGGAAGAGGGGTAGGAGACTAGAGGCCACACATGCTGCGGCCTTGCCCTGAAGGCTGGGGTGGCAGTTTGGAGGCTGTCCAAACACCCTGGCTTCTAGAGCTGGCCTGTCCATTTGAAACCCCAGCTCTGATGCTAATCAGCCACCCTCAGGCAAGTTACTTAACCTTGCATGCCTCAGTTTTCTCATCTGGAAAATGAGAACCCTAGGCTCAGGGTTGTTAGAAAAGTTAAATGAGTTAAGACAAGTGCCTGGGACACAGTAGCCTCTCGTGTGTTTATCATTGTGTCCTCAGCAGGTCGAATAAACAGCTTCTCAGGTGTGAGGCTGGCGCAATTATCTGGAGTGGGTTGGGTTTTCTAGGATCAACCCCCTGCTGCATTTTCCTCATTCATCCACCAGGGCTTAATGGGGAATTAAGGAATCCATGTGTAACTGATAATAACTGTAGCTACACTTCAGTGAGCACCTATTAGTTGTCCCTGGCACTGCTTATACATGTGTCTATCAAATACATCAATGAGGTAGATATTGTCTTCATTTTATAGATCAGAGAAAATTGGGGTTCAGAGAGCTGATGTGATTTTCCCAGGGTCACAGAGAGTCCCAGATTCAGGCACAACTCTTGTATTCCAAGACACAAGCACTACATGTCCAAAGACTGCCCAGAGCCACCAGCAAATTGTGACATATCCCTATAGAGGCTGAGCACCTGGTCAGGGTCTGGCCGCCAATAGTGTGTCCAGATGCAGAACTGGAGTGAGGGAGGGGAAGGGAGGCTCCTTGGGACAGAGAAGGCTTTCTGTGCTCTCTGTGAAGGGAGCAGTCCGAGGACCCAGGGAACCAGGCCCTCCTGGCTGGAGAGGGCTGTGGCAATGGAAAATCAGTGCCAACTGCAGTGAGTCAGCCTAGGTTAAATAGAGTAACCTATGTAAGAGTGCTGGACAGGAACCTTTACCCCCATGACACATTTCTTCAATGTGACCTTCTGGCCCCTCTCCTCCTGATAGCAGAATGATGACTGCCCTGATCGGTGAGGCTGGAGGAAGAATCAGTCCTGTCCTTGGCAAGCTCTTCACTATTATAGGAAAGGCCCTCTCCCTGCTCCCAAGGCCTGTGACTTTCTAACCTGGCCTCACGCTGGGTAAGCTTAAGGTAGAGGTGCAGGATTAGCAAGCCCACCTGGCTACCAGGCCAACAGCTACATGCTCCAACTGACCCTGATGAATGAAGAGGGACTCGTGTCTGTGTCAGTTGGTTCCAAATGAAGCCAGGGAGTGGGGCATTAGGAATCGAAACCCTCAAGCTCCAACAGGATGGTACTTAATGGGGAATTTGAGTGGAGAGGTAGGGGACATAGTGCTTTGGAGCCCAGGGAGGGAAAGGTTCTGTTGAAGTTGAATTCAAGGCTGTTTTGTCTTTCATCACCAACTCGAGTTTCCTGGACATTTGTTTGCAGAAACAACCGTAGGGTTTTGCCTTAACCTTGTGGGTTTATTATTACCTCATAGGGACTTTGCCTCCTGATGGCAGTTTATCTTAGTGCTCACTGTGGCACTTGAGTTTTTT